GGGTGTTCAGGAAAAATATCTTAAACTTTAAAACAGAGCTTGGAATAGCAGCGACTTGGTGTAGTTGTAAATTTGAAAGATGCTCGCAATTCATCAAGAAAGAAATGTGTATTGGGAAAGAGGGCCATTTCCAAGAAGGACCTACGCAAAATTAATAAGAGCAGAACAACAGAGTTGGAGGGGACTTTGGAGGTCTTCTAGTCTAACCCCCAGCTCAGGCAGAAAACCCTATACCAGCGATGGCTAACCTTTTTGCCGTGGCGTGCCAAAAGCGGGGGGAGCGCAGGGGGTTTGCACACGTGCATGCCCACACCCATAATTCAATATGCCACGCCCCCCGTGCAAGCACATGATGCCCCCCGCGCTCCTCCTCACTTTTGGAACATGATGGCATAGTGGGCCCAGTAGGCCCGTTTTTCACCCTACCCAGGCTCCAGAGGCTTTCTTGGAGCCTGGGGAGGGCGAAAATGGCCTTCCCCACTCCCGAGAGGCCCTCCGGAGGCCGGAAACGGCCTGTTTCCTGACTCCCAGTGGGCCTGGAAGGGCCGAAAATCAGGTGGCCGGCGTGCACATGCGTGCTGGAGCTAACCTATGGCAATGCTCACGTGCCCACAGATATGGCTCTGCGTGCCACCTGTGGCACGCGTGCCATAGGTTCGCCATCATGGCCCTATACCATTTCAGACAGGTAGTTGTCCAATCTTTTCTTAAACCCCCCCCCCTTGTTGGAGGGCCAACACTGAAAGTCAAATCTAGTAATGGGATCCTAGCTAGATCCTAAACTTCAGTTGTTTAACTTCAATATAAGGCCAGCTTCAGGCTATGGTAACAATTCATGCACAGCTTAGACTGGCAGCATTGACAGTCCACATGATACCTTCTACATTATATATGAATGCACAGGAAGTCCGACACCCCAAGACAATTAAGACAGCACATATCTATGGTACTTTCAAGGTACAGGTAGTCCTCGACTTATAACAGTTCATTTAGTGACCATCAGAAGTTACAACAGCACTGAAAAAAAGTGAACGATGACCATGTTTTACAATTCTGACTGTTGCAGCATCCCCATGGTCATGTGATTTATTTATTTATTTATTTATTTGTTCAACTTGTATGCCGCCTTTCGAATGCTTGACAACTGACTCACATTTATGACGATTGCAGTCTCCCGGAGTCATGTGATCCCCTGTTGCGACCTTCTAACCGGCAAAGTCAATGGGGAAAAAACAGATTCACTTAATAGCCTTGTTACTAATTTAAGAACTGCAGTGATTCACTTAACAAATGGGGCGAGAAAAGTTGTAAAATGGGACAAAACTCACTTAACAAATTTCTCACTTAACAACATAAATTTTGGGCTCAATTGTGGTCATAAGTTGAGGGCTACCTGTAATTCACGCTTCCGACATTAGCATTCTAATCAGGGTGGATTTGATTTAAATCGAGTTGATTTAAATCACAATTTAAATCATGATTTAAATCACTAGTAAAAAGGCTTGATTTAAATCAACTCGATTTAAATCGTAATTTTTAAAGAGCAACTGTCATCTCTGCTACTCCTTTGACCCGCTGTTGACTCACCGATAGTCCCAGTGTTGCAGAATATACAGCCTCATGCTACATAACTAAGCTCCATTTCATGCTGAATAAACTAAATTATTTATGTATCTTAAATAGAAAACTATCTTACGATAGATTTTTACCCCAAGTTTTTTATTAAAATAAATTCAATAAAAATCAAAAAAATCCGATTTAAATAAAAAAAATCTGATTTTTTTGATTTTTTTTAAAAAAATCATTGATTTTTATCCATCCTGATTCTAATTATGTTTACTGGGCTGTTCTCTAATTGAAAGGCATGGATGAGGTCACTGAACTCAGGCAGAATTTTCTATGACAGATCACGGCAAAACTATGTTCCTCCACCCACCCCAAATTTTTAAACTGCTGTTCAATCAAAGTCACGCTCCTGTACCCAGTCTTCCCGCAAAGCAACCCCCGGGGAAGCTGCTTTCTCAACAGATCCTTGTAACCCTGACAAAACAACATCATTCGGTTTCACATCAATGGCACTTTCAACCTTACAGGAAAGTTAATAGCCAACTGTTAACAGCTGGCTGTGCCAGATGTTCAAATGTGGCCAGTTGAGTAGCCAGGTGTCCCCAGAGAAGAACTTTGAGCCTTACCACCTCCGCTTCCCCACAACACACACATACAGTCAGGAGCACAAGTCATCTTCACTACAAGCAACAGATGTCTGGCAGAGGTGGATGTTACACAGTTGTGTAACAAAGACAAAGAAAACCACATATTCATGCATCGAGTTGGTCGGTTTTATCAGCATTAATCTGTAAGAACACTTATTCATCTTGGCCTACGCCTTAGCCTCTGCAAACGTTCCGCCATCATTTTTTCCAAGCAAAAACTAAGAGAGGGGGCAACATCACAAAAATTGCTTTAATGATGACAGCATGCTAAGGGAAGGGTTTACAAGAGGTGGAAGATGAACGGGTAAACAACAGGTATTTTTTAAAAAGGCAGATGCCTCTTGGAAGCCCAAAAGCAGGAAATGAAGTTCTTCCTTGCTACAGTCCCCAAAGCAGATGGAGATTCTCAGTCATCCAGCTTCAGCTCAGAGCTGAGGAAGCTTCTTGGAGAAGTCTTCAAGGAAGAAACAAAGTCCAGTTGCCTTTTGAAAAAGCTCTTTTGGGTCCCCAAAGCAGGCAATCTGTCCCTGAATCTACCAGTACCTGGATTTCTCAGGCACCTGAAACAAAAACATACAGAAGTCCAATACATTTGCTATCAGTCCAGAGTGCGGGACCTAGAATCATGAATTTAAGACACAGGAAGGCTAATTCCATTTGAATATTAGTAAAAAAAAAAAAAAATCCCTACAGTACAGGTAGCCTGACAATTAAATCAACTACCCAGAGATCTAATAGATCTACTCTTCACTGGATATATTCAAGCAGAAACCGAACACCCATTTATTCGGAAGGCTTCTATATGGGTCCTTCCAATCCAATGTTTCTATGGAAGTTCTATTAAGTTTAGACTAAGCTAAGTTTACTTTCCAGAGATTTAGTTATTGGTTTTTATACATTACACAGAAAAAAATAAGTGGAACTTCAACTGTACCACTGTGGTTGCATCTCGGCTAAAGAGCCGAGGTGGCGCAGTGGTTAGAGTGCAGTACTGCAGGTTACTTCAGTTGACTGCTAGCTGCAGTTCGGCAGTTCAAATCTCACCGGCTCAAGGTTGACTCAGCCTGCCAGCCTTCCGAGGTGGGTAAAACGAGGACCCAGAATGTTGGGCAATATGCTGACTCTAATAAACTGCTTAGAAAGGGCTGTAAAAAGCACTATGAAGCGGTATATAAGTCTAAATGTTATTGCTATCTTGATTTATTTTTGACCACATCAGGTGGACACCCCTGAAGAGCCTTGGTAGTACAGTGGTCTAAAGCACCCTGTTATTAAGACCAGCTGCCTGCAATTACTGCAGGTTCGAATCTCGCCAGGCTCAAGGTTGACTCAGCCTTCCATCCTTTCTAAGGTAGGTAAATTGAGGACCCGGATTGTGGGGGCAATAAACTGACTTTGTATAAATATACAAAAGGATGAAGGCTATTGCTTAATGCATTGTAAGCCGCCCTGAGTCTCCGGAGAAGGGCGGTATATAAATCAAATTAAAAAAAAAAAAATTCAAGGATAGGCATTCCTGTTGTGAACAGCCATTCACAGATTAAAGTGTTAAGGCTCCCTACACTGGTTGGTTGTGAAATCGGTGTCCTGATCCTGTACCACTGAGTCTTAAGTTTCCTCTGTGAAAAATATGGGAGGGAGAAAACCAAAGACCCGCTTGATCAGGGGTGTCAAACTGGCAGCCCGCGGGCCGGATGTGTCACACGCAGGCCATGCCTACCCCAGCTCCACAAATGTCACGTGACAGCAAGGTGACGCGGCGAGTTTGAAAACTCTCACAGCCAACAGCAGCTGTCTGCTAGTAATTTTCATGCTTTGCTTACTTTGAAAATGATTTGGAAGAAGTATTTTGGGACTTACTGAAAGGGTGGATCTCTTGATGTTTTTTAATGCAGCCACACTTTTTTCATGCTCACATAGAAACCTGAAAAAAGTTGGGCTGCTTTCACAAACAGCCAAAAAATGATGCGCTCTTGCAAGGGCCAAATTATTTTGCAAAAAGTGCACAATCCAAGTAATTATCTTCATCTTGGACTTTATTCACTCTCATCTCACAAGGCAAAGTCATTCCCATTTTCTTAGACCTCCTCAAATAGGAATAGAATATTACAAGGAAAATGTACAAAAATTGGAAAGAAAACATTTCCTAGCTGAATGTATGTCAATGATTTTTTTTTGCCCTTTGTAATGATTTCAGGAGTTTTAAATAACACAGGACTAACACTAACTTAGCAGAGACGTTGCCTCAAAATGCCTCATACACACACGATGGCGTGCCTTTTCAAAAATGCTATCAGCAAATATGATCTAAACAGGAAATGCTGATTTATCCCTTTGGAATCGCTGGCTCATTGAAGTGTTTTAGCTGATGAGTTTTAGTTAATAATTTGATTGGGGTTATTTTAAGTAACTGAAAGAATCTTAACTTCATCTATGCAGATAATCATTACACAAACATTCCTCTTTTGCCTAGAAATCGTTACAGTATTATTACTCTCCAGAGGAGTCAGCAAGTTCCTAAAAAACTCCAAACTGTGAAGCAAAGAAGACAGGCCAAAAGGAGGCAAGGACAAAACACTATCATAACTCTATCATTAAAACTGAATGGATGTAGTCACTACTAATCAAATTCAACTTTAAGGCTGACTTTATGTTAAAAAAAATAAAGTCAAGAAGGATCACTTCTTAGAATCCGGCTTAAATAGTTATTGGACTTTTTTTTTAAAGAAATGAGTGATTAAAAAGTAATGCTATTATGACTGAAGCATTTGAAAATATATCTTTTACCTGAACTGCGATCCAGCTGGCATTGACAGAATACTCCCCAAATGGACCGAACCCTGAAATCATAGAAAAATATTTCTTTTTACCATGATGGCATTTTGTTTCTAGGCACTAACGAGCAGTCTAAACTGGCCATTTTATAGATCACGTACATCAAAATACAGCAAATAATTATCATAGGTCATTGTACATTCTTTCTCTCACCAGGATTGGCTCTCTCTTCCTACTTCCAAACTATACTTTAAAGGAGGTTAAAAAGAAAATGCGCCTAATGAACTTTCTCTAAGGATTTGAAGATGAGTTTCCTGCATCTTCGTCACCACCATGAAATTCTCACTGTTTTGAGTTCATGTACTATACTAGTGCAAGGGATTGTTAATTTGCTTTTGGCTTGTGTTGTATGAACCTGGTCACTAAATTCATATACACGATTGGATTTTATTATAATTAAGCAAATCACAGCTTACTATGATAGGTGAACTAGGTGGGACATGCACAGAGTACCTTGATCCATGAAGACACCCATTTTAAAAGTCGGGGGGGGAATAGATCTTTTCTCCATTACTCTGTTTGAAATGTGATAGCAAGTTACCGTAGTTAGAACCAGCTACAGAGATTTGCCACGAACGTGATGGAATTCAGATTATACAGGTGCACATGCACAGCGGCTTATTTATTAGCCCAATTAATTTCACAGGCAGATGTCTTTTCCTGGTTAATCAATTTAGTCAGAAGACCAGACTTACATGATCTGTGCTGTCCTTCAAACCTACTTACCCACACTCAACCCTGATCCTGGGCAAGTGGGCATGCTTGCGGTACTTAGAAAATAATGGATACTTTGTTCAATGAAACTTAAGAAAAGAGGCATAGGTCTAACTATCTTGGGAATTTCTACAAATAAGGAAATATACTGCTCAAAAAAATAAAGGGAACACAAGCAGAAGACATCCGAGATCTGAATGAATGAAATAGCCTTATTAAACACTTTGTTCTTTACATACAGTAGTTTATACACTGCTCAAACAACTAAAGGGAACATAAAACTACTGTGTGTAACGAACAAAGTATTTAATATGGCTATTTCATTCATTCAGATCTCGGATGTCTTCTGCTTGTTTTCCCTTTATTTTTTTGAGCAGTGTATATAAGCATCAATGCCTGACACTTCCAAGAAGGAAAAGTCTTTACATAGCTCAAGGAGAACAAAGTGATTTTTCTCTAATTGAATCACGGAGATCTGCTAACCGGACAGTGTATACAGATTTGGCCCCAAAAGATCAATAGTTTGCAGGGTCTTTGATGCTCTCTGAACTTGGTTGTTTTCTTGCAAACTTTTCATTACCCAGCCTAGGTAACGTTATCAGTTCTCATTCCAACCCTGGACTAAAATATTCTCCTTTATTAGATTAACAGTTTGCTGTGATCTCACACAGCTCCTTATACATCATGGTTTAGAGTCACCTGATATGGATTGAAAAATATTTTTGAATGTTTATTACATTTCCCCCCCCCCCACAAAGATCCAAATTAGTTTTTTTTTCTTTTTCCACAACCCAAAGAGTCCATTATCTTTTTTAAAAAATGTTGTGGTTTTTTAAAGTCAAATATACAGCATTGTTTTATATTGCACTTCTTTATATTGTACATCTTCAGGAGGAAGAGCAATATAACATTAAAATGAATGTATTGTCCTCAGCATAAATTATGCATAACATAAGCATAAATTATATCTTGATATCGTGCTGGATCAGTTATTCATTCTGCACACTCTTATGAATGCTTACTGAGAAGTAAATATATTAATCTCCATGGGATTTTATTCCAAAGTATTGCACATATATATCATAGGTGAATTCTCTTCCTCACATTCCTTGCCTTCCTATCTTTTTTGCTTTGATCTCCCCATTGTCCTTCTGCCTTGGACAGTGAGATGGGTGGAATATAAATTTAATAAATATAAATAAAATTAGATCAAACACACTCCTAGCCCAAGAGAGTGGCAGAATTTACAAGGTCTATTTCCACTTCAAAGCTTTTCAAACTATGTAAAACTGAGATACAGAGTGACAAGGTTTCCGTTGCACTAAGCCATAATTCAATTTGTCATCATAGTTTATAAGACAGGGCTTGTGTTTTAGTTAATTCAGTAAACAATGGTTAGTGAACACTGCATATAAACCTAGTTTATATCTCTAGGGTGCCCTTCTGTATTAACTATTTCTAACTTTCTAGAGAATTTGTTGCTCAGCAGTTTGTCAAAGAAAACAAAATCTTTCCTTAAATCTATTTGGTGTGAAGTCTTCCATATCGGGTTTTACACACTAAGCACTTTTTTGAGGACAAGCAGATTTCCAAAAGAACATATACAGTATCTGAAACTCAAAGCAAGAATGGCATGCTTTGGCTTTTTAATGAATAACTTTGTTAACTGGCAAGCCATAACTGGAATTTGTAGATGTTCTGCCTTGAGTAAAGGTAAAAATGTTCGAGACATGTGAGATGCCACTCTTTGCCAACGAGGCGATCCTCGACGTACAACCATTCATTTAGTTACTGTTCAAACTTGCGACTTTAGGACCAGTTTTCAAACTTATGAGTGCTGCAGCATCCCCATTGGTCATGTGATCAAAATTCTGGTGCTTAGCAACTGGCACGTATTTATGACAGTTGCATTGACCCAAGGTCATGTGATCACCATCTGTCATCTTCCCAGAGGGCTTCTGACAAGCAGAGTCAATGGGGGGGGGGAGGGAGGGAGAGACAGATTTACTTAACAACTGCAATGATTCACTGATTAACTGTGGCAAACGGTTGTAAAATGGGACACAACTCACTGAGCAACTGTCTTGCTCAGCAATAGAAATTTTGGTAGCAATTGTGTTTATAAGTTGAGGACTACATGTATTATGCTTGAATAGCTGCCTCATTGCTCCTAGAGCAGGGGTCTCCAACCTTGGCAACTGTAAGACCTGTGGACTTCAACTCCCAGAATTCCTCAGCCAGCTTTGCTTAAATCTACCTTTGCTGGCTGAGGAATTCTGGGAGTTGAAGTCCACAGGTCTTAAAGTTGTCAAGGTTGGAGACCCCTATCCTAGAGCACCAAATGGAAGAACCAAGGAAAAAAAGAAACTACTAGAAAATAATGCACAGGCATTCAAAAAGGCCTAAATATTTTTTAAAAAAACTTTTCCTAACTTTACCACACAAGACTCTTGATTGCCTACAGCAGCATTTTTACCCATCATAGCTGAACAGGGTTTCTAAATTAGGTATAAGTATTCAAGTAAGCCACAAAGCCTTATTTCCAAATAGTTGTTCATATCATTACAAACTATTACAGGTAAACCCCCAAAAAAATCAGTAAGTTCTTCATGTCCCAATGATATATGGAAACTAGCATGTATAATTCCAGAAGCAATTGATCTGGATTGTATTTAATTTTAGAGCAAAGAGATACCGAATGATTAAAAACAAGATTCCTAACATTAGATTTCAAGACAAAAGCAAGACACGTTTCGAGAAAAGGGGTTTTGCACGTATTGTACTGCAATGTGGTTTGAATCATTTTGCTGCCGTTGTGTGAACACAGCCGCTGCGTTTTTGTAAAGCACTATTTATGGCTCAACATGTGGTGTAAATTAAACCTATTGTGGTTCATTGATTATACCATGGTTAAACTAATTCCATTTAGTGCAACATGTGAACTCAATCAGACTTATCATTTGACCCAGTCACATCCGTCAATATATGCCAATCCCTCAAAGACATTCTCCAAAAGGCAGTATTTTGCCAGCATGCCCCACTATATATAGTTCTCTATATTCTTTGTTGTCAGGAAGAAAAATAAGGTTTTTCACCAAGGTTTCTGCGCCTGATTGTACTCACCAGAGAAAACCAATTAATGGCAAACTAGGTACATCTGTCCTGATACCAAAGTTTTTAATTCTCTAAAAAGGTATGTTCCAAGAATCTTTCCTCTTTTTGAAAATATAAAGTTGTAAAGGTTATCTGTAATTCCAGGGGACTCGACATTCTACAGGTGCCGGCTACATAGCCAAGGCACCAAGAAATGAAGAGAAGCCCCCCTCCCCTCACCCCCAGGCAGAAGGCTCCTTTGTGTTCCCTTCTTTCTTGCTTAACCAAGGCTGTTGCTATCAGATAAGAATTCAATAGAGTATTTTGGAATCCCTTTGGGCACCCTCTCACTAGAAGCCGCCAAGGCTAATTAGCAGGAAACCAGCTGCTCCCAGCTGCCAGATTTTTATGGGATTAGCTTGATCCTGAAAGGAGCTACACAGACACGCACATGTTATTCAGGGCACTTGGCATGAGCTAGTGCATCGGAGCATGCCAATGACATAGGTACCAGTCAGACTATTTGAAGATTTTATCCTGACAAGGACGCAACGGGTCTGAAAGAAACTACTTTGTATTCTATATTCCACAGGTGTGCGGCTACTTCACGCCACGGAGCATGAACTGTAGCTTACCAGAAAGCTCCCATTTCTGCTTCTGCAAGGGGACATCATCGCCTGGCACCCCTGCCAAGAGTTCACTGGACTCTTTCAGCTCCAATTAAGGCTGTATCAGTAAATCTCAAGGGCGCCTCCCTACTGCCACAACTCCAGCCACTGATGGGGCAAGGCAGGTGGAGCTGCGTCCGTCAGTCCCCCAGTCAAAAGACTGTTCTTATGTTAGCCTCACCACTAATAGCAACCCCCTTTTGTGCCCCGCAAGCCTTTCAGAGATGGGCCTCTCCTTCCCGCAACTTCATGCCGCCCCTCCTCTCCAGCCCAACTTGCTGTTTCAAATAACCACTGCAGGGCTCTGAGCGAGCTTCAAGCAGTTACTCTTCCTTTGAAAGCAATCCTACTGTTACCAGGGTGTGGTTTGGGGCTACACTGATTTAGGAGCTCAGGACCCCAGAGGGAATCACACGGGGGCAGAGTGGGGGGAATGTGACTTCAAGACCTCTTGAATGACTTCAGATTTACCAGCTGCCATCAGACTTGTCTTTTGGGAACAGAAGGAAGGTATCCAACAGCAGAGAGGGGTAGAAGGGGAAGGGGGAAAAAAGCTGTCACACAAAACCAATATGTAGATCCCACAGACAAATGTCCACACAGAGAAAATCACATTTCATGGGATTTTTCTCCCAGGAAAACAATAAGGTATTTCCCCCTTAAAACAGGGAAAATTTAAAAAAACAACAATATCTACCATATTACCAACAAGTAGCACCACCTTGAAATGCTGGCAACAACACATTTTCTATTTCTATATCAGAATAACCCCTAACCTTCTTCTAAACAAGTCACACCCGAGGTTGTGCAGTGAGAACTAGCACCAAAATATCCTCACACATTTTATGTGTAGCTTACACAGAGAGGGATCCCTTCTACTCCTCCTTCTCTCCTCTCCCTTCACCAACCACTGCTAAGGAGCCTCCTTGCTCATCCACCCCCAAAACATTCATTTCCAATAAACCCAAGTTTTTGTAGAAAACAGATGAAGAATTATGAATCAGGAAAGTATAAACAAACATGACAAAAAGCTTCCCACTAGTTGGCAACAGCCTCTGGGGGCATTATTACAAGAGGCGAGTTAGCAAGGCTAAGGAAAATAAAGAGAGAATAAAAGATTTACGGGAGAGACAGGCACTGAAAGAGGAACACGGGGAGCAAGTCATGGGTGGAATACATTCGCAGATAAATCAAACGGGACCGTTTTTAAGGAGGATTGCATTGCTCGATCCAGTTAATCCGGAATATCAATACTCAGGAGAACGCAACATTCAGGAGGGAAGGGGGAAAAGACATACTTCAAGTGGAAAACACCAGACTCAGAGAGTTTAAATTTTTTTTAAAAAAGGACGATCCACTCTGTTATATGCTTAAAAGAGAAACTTTATTGAGGGATAATGAAGGAAGAACAAATTATTTGATGGGGCGTATTTTACATCTCCCCTAATCAGCAAAAGGAATGTCAGGTTTTTATGTTCATGCTGGGACTAAAAGAAAAGAGGAACTATTTTGGGGGGTTACTTAATGCGGGGGGAAGACGAAGCTCAACCCTCAAACCGTCCACTTCCCTCCCCCTTTGGAATGGTCCCACACCTCATAGCCCCCCCCTTCCTGTTGTCGCCCCCCCCCCCCGCCCTTACCAGTCACCACTACGGGCCGCCGGGTCTTCTCCATGGCTTTGCTTCTTTCGCTCTCTTCTGCCCGACCAACTTGAGGCGACTGACTGAAGGAGTGAGCAGCAAACCCGCCCCACTCAGGGCCTAGACCCCGCCCATTGGAGGAGATCGCGTGACCACACCCAGGCCCCACCCACTCGCGGCAGAAAGAGGCGGAGGCACAGCGCTGGGAAGGAAAAACATAGAGGAAGCATGTTCGCAAGGCTAGAGCGGCACACCATACTTATACCCTTGCTTTTTAATAGCGCAGTCACAAAGCCCGTTCTTTCCCAATCTCCTTCAGTACAGAAGGACAGAAGAGCATCAGCACATCGTCCATGCTAAACTGCACTGATTAATAGCCATGACTTCCATACCAAAGTCCCCTGGGAGTTGTAGTTCTCTCCCATTAATCCTTTAGTCTAATATCGTTTTTATTTCTATAAGGGTATTGTTGCTGTTATTATATGCTGCATATAAAGAAATACATACAAAATAATTGTATGGGAATGCCTTACCCAGGGACTATCAGATCTAGGCTTCAAAAATCCAGATGAATAGCATATTGTTCTTGGTTGTCTTTTTACAGGCTAGGTTGTATATATATTCTTACCAAGTTAAAATACCAGTCCAATTATTATTGTTACCCTTAGAGTGGCAGCACTTCTCTAAAGCTTTGGATAAATATTTTCTAAGCCCCACCAAGCTTTATGAGGTAGACCTTTTGCACACAAAGTATGTGGTGTATTACTCAGCTAGCCTAGGAAAAATCAAACTTGTCACAGTTGTCTGTACTTTAATCTTGGTTACAGTACTTGTAATAAGAGAATTTTTTATAAGCAGCTGAGTCAGCTAAACTATGTAATGAAACCCAGCCAATATCATAGCAAGAACAAAGGTTGCATTCCTGTTACTATTAGTGTATGGTCTGAAAAAGATTTTGAAGCAAACAATTACCAGATACCATTGATCTGCTTGACTACTTTTTCCAGGAAAAACTGCCGGATGTTTAATCTGTATACAGTATGTACCCTTTTCCTCTGACAAAGATCTTCTCAGGTATTTGCACTAAGTGTAAATGTGTTTATTTCCAAACTTTCATTTAGGAGCTCAAGACAGTAAGGTAGCCTTAGCAGCCCCTCTTATTTTTCTCCAGAACAACAAACCTGCCTAATAGATTATGCTGAGATAAATCAATGGGGCCCTTTCACCCAGGAAAAGTGCACTAGAATCCAGCTGTTCTTACACTGCAAGATATGGAATATTTATCATATTGTATTCCTTGTTCTTCTCACGAAACATTAACTTGCTGTAGTAGAGATAATACAGCTTTTTGCAACATGACTTAAATCAGGGTTGTAAAGATCGGCAATTTCTAAATAGAGCTACAGAAGTTGTTTTCTTTGTTAAAATACCTGTTAATGTTTTCACCCACCCATTATGAAATAATTTCCCACTAAACACTGAGATTCAGCTCACGCAAAAAAATAAGCCATATGTATGGTTGGCTTTTAGTTTTTTGAAAAGTTGACCGAGATGGAATCTTATTGTACACTGGTGTTACATAGAGAAAAGTGGTTTTAAATTTACATTAAAACGCTTTTCAGTGGAATGGGTACTGTTTATGTGTGTATCTTTGAGTCAGTCTTGACTCCTGTTGACTGCTGGGACTAGCTGTGGCAATATGTTTGGACTTGTTTTGCCATTGCTTTTTTTCCTGAGAGTGACTGGCTTAAGTCCACAAATGGCTTTCTGCTTAAAGTGAATCTACAGCAGTGTTATTCTGCTTTAGCAACTTTAAGATGTGTGGACTTCAACTCTCATACTGACTGAGAAATTCTGGGAGTTGGAAGTCCACACATGTTAAAGCTACCAGGGTTGAAAAAACATTGTCTGATGTGCCCTTGTGCTTGACCATTTTACACCAAAATGGCTCTTGGTTGAATGGTATTATTGGGAAAAAAATATCCTAATAGCGAATGCAGTTGAGAGGAGAATCAATTACCAAGACAAAGAGTGTTTCACTGAAGTATCTTCACTGAATTTTTTTCAAGCAGCAGCTGGACTGCCATCTGTCAAGGATTCTTTCCTTTGGATTCCTGCAGTGAACTAAAAGCTAGCTTCAGTGACCCTTTTTATTTCTATGAATAAACCAAAGTTGACAGACTTGTGCAACTGTCTAAATATACATAAATCTAAGAATTACATTTCTGTTACCTTTTTTGCAGTCTGACATTCTTCTTTTCATGGCATTGGACTGAATAAATAACCCAATAGCCTTTAAACAGGGGATTTGATGCATTCGTGGAGAATAATATCATAAAGAGCATTGATATTATATGCACCATATTAAGAGATAAAGTTCAATTTATCAATTGTATCAAGTTGTATCAAGGTTATAGAATTCTTTACTGGCCAAATGTGATTGGACACAAAAGGAATTTGTCTTTGGTGCATATGCTCTCAGTGTACATAAGGAGAATAAAATACAATCATCGAGAATAAAAAGATACAACACTTAGTGATAGTCAAGGTTACAAATGAGCTATCAAATCATACTAGAAAACAAATAAAAACAATATAAATTGAAAGATACAAGCAAAATGGTTATAGTAGTAAGTGGGAAGAGATAGATACTAGTAATGAAGAGAATAATATTAATACAGTCTTAGTAACTTATTTGACAGTGTGGGAATTAGTTGTTAAGCAGAGTGATGGCATTCGGGGAAAAACTGTCCTTGTGTCTAGTTGTTCTGGTGTGCAATGCCCTATAGCGTTGTTTTGAGGATAGAAGTTTATGTGAAGGATGTGAGGGGTCTGTAGATAGTTTCACAGCCCTCTTTTTCAGTGGTGGGTTTCAAATTTTTTTACTACCGGTTCTGTGGGTGTGGCTTGGTGGGCATGGCAGGGAAGGATACTGTAAAATCTTCATTTCCACCCTACTCCAGGGAAAGGATGCTGCAAAATCCCCATTTCCTCCTGATCAGCTGGGACTTGGGAGGTAGAGAATAGATGGGGTCAGGGCCAGTCAGAATTTTTACTACCGGTTCTCCGAACTACTCAAATTTTTTTGCTACTGGTTCTCCAGAACTGGTCAGAACCTGCTGCAACCCACCTCTGCTCTTTTTGACTCGTGCAGTATACAGATCCTCAATGGAAGGCAGGTTGGTAGCAATTGTTTTTTCTGCAGTTCTGATTATCCGTTGAAGTCTGTGTCTGTCTTGTTTGGTTGCAGAGCCAAACCAGACAGTTATGGAGGTGCAGATGACAGACTCAATAATTCCTCTGTAGAACTGAATCAGCAGCTCTTTGGGCAGTTTGAGCTTTCCGAGTTGGCGCAGAAAGAACATTCTTTGTTGTGCTTTTTTGATGACGTTTTTGATGTTAGGTGTCCATTTTAAGTCTTGAGATATATTATATTATATATATATCAGTGGTGAAATCCAAATTTTTTTGCTACTGGTTCTGTGGGCGTGGCTTGTTGGGCGTGGTATGGTTTGGTGGGCATGGCTTGGTGGGCATGGCAAGGAAAGGATCCTGCAAAATCTCCATTCCCACCCCATTCCCAGCCAGAGGTGGCATTTGCCAGGTTTTTGTTTGTTTGTTTTTGATTTGATGTATATGCCGTCCTTCTCCGGAGACTCAGGGCGGCTTACAATGCGTTAAGTAATAGCCTTCATACTTTTGTATATTTATACAAAGTCAGCTTATTGCTCCCATAATCTGGGTTCTCCGAAGTGCTCAAAATTTCCGCTACCGGTTCTCCGGAACCTGTCAGAACCTGCTGGAATTCACTGATATAATAATATAATTAATACAATACAATACAATACAATACAATACAATACAATACAATACAAACAATACAATACAATACAATACAATACAATACAATACAATACAATACAATAATATATAATATAATAATATATTTATAATATAATATATTTATATTATATTATTATATTATATTTTATATTATATTATATTATATTATATTATATTATATTATATTATATATTATACTATATTATATTATATTATATTTATTATATAGTGAAATGTTAAGACATCAATTAGAAATGCTATATCTCTGATCCACAGCAGCACAATGCATGGTTGTTATTTTGGATAAATTCTTTCAATTTCAATTTTAGTACTGTATGTATCATTTGCTAAATTATTGCTATATTTATTATGCTAGACTAGCAAATCTGTAACTATTTTCTTTTGTCACGGAAAAGGGGTTGCAAAACTCTGAAGTATTCACCTGTAGGGTTCTTACAAAGTAATGTTATAAATCCTACAAGGTATAGAATTACATCAAAATATTTTGCATGCACGTTATTATTTATACACGACTGCAGAAAGTACAGTTTTATTTAAACAAACTTTCTCCTTGAATAGAGGCAAAAGAAAACACAGAAACTCTCCACACACACACACACACACATATGAAAAATAATATTGCACATGTATAGGATAAGCCCTGGTGCGCAAGCGCAGATCATTCCTCCGTCAGATGGAAGCCGAAGATCCTAGTTACGGCTTGCGTTGCATTGTGGGTATTATCCTCCCTCCCTCCCTCCCACGAGGCATGCGCTACAGTAGGGATAAAAATACTGTAAATCTCCTTTAGGATTGAATTTCAAGAGCCTGGACGGAAGCTTCTCATTGGACGTCCGGCACTATATGCTGATTGGCTATAGAACTAAGTCTTGGCTTAAGGCGGGCGGAAGTCCGGCAGGCGGAAGTGGAAGTTGACGTTCCTGTGGCATCGCGGATAGAAGGATGGTGAGACTTGCAAATGGGGGGAGGGGGGGGAAGGGAGCAAGAATTGTTTCTGTTTAAGAATAAGATTTAAGAATACGAATTAAACTTAACGAGCCTCGCTGTTACTTAAGGATAATTGGGGCTTACTTATCCCAGCCCCGTTTACTTGTAAGAATAATGTTGTCCTGCCCTTTAAGGAGGCTTAGAGACTCTCCAGGCGTGAATTATTTAGGATCGCCCCTTTGTAAAATGTGGCTAGGCCGGGGGGGGGGGGCAACTATGGCCCTTTTACAACCTGTGGACTTCAACTCCCAGAATTCCTGAGACAGCTTGGCTGTCTCAGGAATTCTGGGAGTTGAAGTCCACAGGTTGTAAAAGGGCCACATTTGCCCACCCCTGGGCTAGGCTGTTTCTTACTTCGTGAGTAAGACTCACTGAGTAGTAGCATGGGGTTGTGTAATTGGAGCCTGGTGTAAAGCAGGGTGTAAAGAATGGGGGGGGCAGCTTGTTGAGAGAGTAGTTTTTGCATGAAACAGGAAAATGAAGTGTTATTTAAGCTGTAGATATTTCTCTCGAGTTTTAATTCGGTCTGTAGCTGTTTGGTTTTATAGTGCTGCTTTTTATAGGTATAAAAAAGGCTTCGCTGGAAAAAAATGTATATTAAGAGATAGGTTTAAAGCATCTCAAATTAGTATTACCATATGTCTTGTTTTAGTTTACTTTATTCTCATTGCACCTCAGTACAACGAAATTAAAGGCCATCTTCCGTGTATGTTATAACTATAATAAAACACAAACACACATCCTTCACATCAGGGGTGAAATCCAGCAGGTTCTGGAGAACTGGCAGCAGAAATTTTGAGTAGTTCAGAGAACCGGCAAATACCACCTCTGGCAGGCCCCAGAGTAGGGTGGGAATGGAGATTTTGTAATATCCTTCCCCCAGGAGGGAGGGAAAGGGGATTTTGCAGTATCCTTCCCCTGGAGTGGGGTGGGAATGGAGTTTTGCAGTATCCTTCCCTTGCCACGCCCACCAAGCCACACCACGCCCACCAAGCCACGCCCACAGAACCGATAGTAAAAACATTTGGATTTTACCACTGCTTCACATTGTTAGACTTTAGAGAACCTGCTAATATTACTCTTGATTATTTTACGGTTTACTGTGAAGATAATTAATTGAAGGATTTTCCTGGAAATAAATCCTGCTTTAGCACGAGCAAGAAGATTTTGGTGTTTGTATAGCTTCACATCGTCATCTGTTTATGATGTGAGATTAAATGCAATTTTGGTCTGTTGGCCAAAAAAATACTATTGATGTTAGATTAAATACAATTTTGGTCTGTCCATTATTCTTAATTTGACTTCTTCCAATATGATTTTAGAAATTGAGACTATGTGGACCTACTTTTCAAAATATAAAAATGATTATTGGATTAATACCATTATGGCTAACCAAATTTGGCAGTGAAAGGCATGATCTGCTGGTGTATGGAGAACTCTTTAGTCTAGCTGCTTAAAGGATAGCAGTGAAAGGATATTTTCTTCATAAACGTTAGAGTGGAGGGCTTGGTTGAAACTTATTTCCACCTTAAAATACCTCAGTTAAATTCTAAGAATTTGTCAGTGGTTGTTGGCCATGAAAACCTTGATCTTCAGAGATGGTCCATTTGAAAACTGTGCTGCTCATGAACACACAATAAAACAAGGCAATTGTCTTTCCATTCTGTTGATGCTGTTGTTGGAGGTGTTTTGTGAACCATAATGGGAATAGGCTACAATAAGAAGATGGTTTTTGATCCAGATGAATTTTTATGTTAGGAACTTGAAATTAGGAGGGGATGAAACATGCCGTTTCTTCTTCTGTTAGGAGGAGGAGGAGTACTTGTGTGAGGCAGTCTCCTGACAAGAGGGACAGAAAATATTGTAAAAAAAACCTACAAGATGACATTGCTCTGGAAGCTTATTTATACACTGGGTATGTTTCTCAAGCTGTTGAACTTTCTCTCTTACAGCTTCCACTATCCTTGCTGAAAACGGCACAGAACCACCCAATGGTAAGTTATCAGACTTGGTTATTAGGATCAAAGTTATAAGTCTTTTATTTGTAAAGAAAGCTTTTTGGAAGTTCCAAAGTACAAGTATTCTTCAATTTATGACCACAATTGAGTCCAAAATTTCTGTTGCTGTGACATTTGTTAAGGGAGTTTTGCCCCATTTTACAACCTCTCTTGCCACTTGTTAAGTGAATCACTGCAGTCATTAAGTTAGTAACATGGTTGTTGAGTGAATCTGGCTTCCCCATTGACTTTGCTTGTCAGAAGGTCGCAATATGACCCTGGGCCACTGCAAACATCATAAATATGAGTCAATTGCCAAGTGTCTGAATTTTAATCACATAACCATGGAGATGTTGCAATGGTCATAAGTGTGAAAAACAGTCATAAATCACTTTTTTTCAGTGCCATTGTAACTTTGAACGGTCACTAAAAGAACTTTTGTAAGTTGAGGACTACCTGTATTTGCTGTAGCTCTTGATGCTTTTTATTACTTCTATCTTTTATATATCTTATGCTAGGATCAGAGAATAACCTGCAAATATTTAATGCTTAGTAAAGCTATTGTTCCAATTAGTGTCTAAATGGAAATTTGCTAACAGTGCTTTGGTTTTTTCAAAGGAATAAATTAGTACAATTTTAGAAAATAATATTTCTTTGGCCAATTTATTGTACATTATGCTTCCATATCTATTGGCCTGTAAAGATTTTCAGTAATATAAATATGCAAAGCAATGCATTTATATATAATACTTTTTAAATGTAAGCACTCTGCATTCATTTTAAACCATTCTTTATATGCTATATTACAAATATTTTCCTGGGTAATCTAAAATATAAAGATACGTAACATGTAGAAGACCAATAATACAATCTCATCTTTTCAAAGATGAGAACAAAGTTTCCAAAATTATAACAAAAAACAGAGAAGCAATCTGAAAATGTTAAAATGAAAATACTCTTAATGATATAATATACATTATAGTGTTAATTTCCTGAATATCAAACTTGCTCATTTAGTGGCCCATAGATGGAAATTTTTGAAATCATAAAAAGTGCTTAACAGTGTGATTGATAGCATGTAGTATGCTAATTTAAGTGTTTATTATAACTTATACATTGTTCCATTCCCAGACATTTTGAATGGCTTGCATTGTTAATGCCATGGTGATACTGGTTTTTGAACTATAACATTTTTCATGGGTCAGCATTTGTGTACTTAGAGATTTTCCTGTTCCAGTCTGAACTAATCTGATCTATCAGATCCATCAGGAGAAAAACACAAATAAAGCAAGAGGCATTGCTTCTCAGTGGCAGTACCAGTTTTCTGGAAAAGTCTCCCTGCAGAGATCAGGTTGCTGCCATCCTGGAGTACATATAGGGAAATTATCGAAAATAGATCCATTTTCAAGAGCATTTTAACCTGTCAACCCCATTTTTTTCCTTTTCGTTTTGTTGCTTTGTTATTTCAATTGACAGGAAGTTTGTTTTTATAACTATGGATACTTTAAATTTGCTTTCTATTGTGTAAATTCCTGTGTGTTGGACTGGTAGCAGAATATAATTATAATGCGATAATGTATTCTTGTTTTTAATCTTAATTATAATGAAGTCTATCTGATGCACAGATGTTCAAGTGGAGCATGATCTTACTCATCTCCTAATGCCTTTTTGAAGACCCAGATGTTTAATGATGTCAGAAAATAGAGGAAAGACGAGATGGTCTGGATATCTGAGAGGAGGTTGTCCCAAAGGAGGAAAGCCATTGTTGAGCAAGCTCAAGCCCAGAGCCCCTCAAGATGGCATTCCTTCAGTGTTGAGTTCCCCCAGTGAGTCCCTTATCCAATGGCTAGATTCAGCTTGGAGATATGCAAGTCTTTAAAGGTGATCCCTTGCACCTTGAATTGCAACTGAATCTTGGAGACAGTACAGTTCCTACCAGGGGCAGCCAAATAAAACCCCTATATTGGTCCTCACTGCTACTTTTGCTTAAGATAGGGCTCTTAGCTATTAAAAAAAATACATAATTGCTGATGAGGTACAAAAGCATGCACACACATCAGCTAAATTTAGCAGTGCAGCCCAAATGCAAATAATTATATTTTTACGTGTGTTGTGGAAGCATCTCTCTCTGAGCTCTGGTGGCTCAGCAGACTAATTAACATCCACTTACATCTGCCTGCAGTTACTGCAAGTTCAAATCTCACCAGGTTTAAGATTGACTCAGCCTTCCATCCTTTCTAAAGTAGGTAAAATGAGGACCCAGATTATGGGAGCAATAAGCTGACTTTGTATAAATATACAAAACTATGAAGGCTATTGCTTAACGCACTGTAAGCTGCCCTGAGTCTCCGGAGAAGGGCGGCATATAAATCAAATTTAAAAATAAATAAAAATTCACCAGACCCAACCAACATTATCATAGTTGTTGTGCATTGATCTACTGTGGTGCTTAAACTTTTGTGAACCTTTTTGAATTTTCGATATGTAGCTTTGGATTATTTTCCTCAATAAATAAATGGACAAATGTCATGTTTTGGACTCATTTGTTTAATTGGGTTCTCTTTAGTTTTAGGAAATATGGAGAAGACATTATGTTTTGGGTATATTTATGCAGAAATATTGGAAATTCCAAAGAATTCACTAACTTTTAACAACCACTAAATGAGATGCACAGTCCTATGTATGTCCCAGTTTTCCCAGCTGTGGAATCTAGTCCCTCATATTCACTGGGCCCTATGCTATTTTGTGTCAGTAAATCCCAGATGTTCCCATCCACTCTGAAGCAATGACAAGAACTAGGCTGAAAAAATGCTATTTAAAAGTCCAGTTGCAGTATGCGAAACAGTCAAAACACTCAAAATTATAGTATGCAGGGCCTAAATGTCTCCTGAAGAAGTTTCTTGGATGAGAAGTGAAACATCTTCAAGGAAAAACAAAGTCCAGTTGCCTTTTGGAAAAAATGCACCCTTGGTACACATGGCCTATTTTGTTTTCAGGACTGCAACATTCAAAAAAGTTGTTCTGAAGTCACCTCTCGAATTAAATGCTCCTATGAAACTGAATTCACTGGGTGAAAAAAAAAATGCATTTGTCAAGAGAAAAATTAATTGGAATCCTCCCCAGTGATGGGTGGGGAGGTTGGCAGACGTTTCCAAATAGAGTCTGAAATTGTGCACAAAAGTTTTTTTCCTAACAATATTTTGTTAAACTTATGATGTAACGTTTGTGTGTGTTAAATGATGATGATGATGATGATGATGATGATGATGATGATGATGATGATATTCAGTTAGTCCTGTCCGACTTTTGGCGATACTATGGGCCAAGTCTCTCTACATCTTCATGTCTTGGCTACTTCTTTGAGTTGTTCTGTGCTCTGGCTGCTGTCAGCTTTGATGGTGTCCAGCTACGGTGTTCTTCGGCAGCCTAGTTTCCCTTTCCCGTTAACTCTTCCAAACCTAATTGTTTTCTCCTGCATGACATAGTCAAAATAAGTGAGATTTTGCGATTTTGCCTTCTAGTGATTTGTCTGATGTTATGCACTCCAGTACTCGCTTGTTAAATATTACCATCTAATAACTGTGGTGCCTTCCTCTGAAAGGCAATACCTTATTAGCAATAGCAATAGCACTTAGACTTATATACCGCTTCATAGTGCTTCACAGCCCTCTCTAAGCGGTTTACAGAGTCAGCCTATTGCCCCCAACAATCTGGGTCCTCATTTTACCCACCTGGGAAGGATGGAAGGCTGAGTCAACATTGAACCGGTGAGATTCGATCTGCCGAACTGCAGGTAGGCTATTGTACTGTAGCACAGTAGCCTACAGTGCTGCACTCTAACCACTGCGCCACCTCGGCTCCTATTATTAGATACGTTTGTATGTATGGAGGAAATAGCAATGGGTGAGGAAGGACACGGCTTTTTGTTTTACAAGAATGAACTATTTCTTAATGGAATTACACTACTGTACTCTCTGTGATCTTGTTATATTGCCTGTTTTGCCTTTTCAGCTGGTGGAGCTCAAAAATGGTGAAACTTACAACGGTCACTTGGTTAGCTGTGATAACTGGATGAACATCAATCTTCGAGAAGTTATCTGTACATCAAGGGTAAGGACAACTCCTCTGCTTTTCTGTTATGGATGCCGACTGCTAATTTTTAGAAAGTAGGAGGACAGAAATGAAATCAGAAGAATGATCATGTAGAAAAGAATTATATAGGCTTTAGGAATTCTTGAACTTTGACCTTTGTTGCTGCAGTTAAGCGAATCACCAGGGTCATGAAATGAATCACGTGGTTGTAAGCAAACCTGACTTTTCCCATCCATTTTGCTTGTTCAGAAAGTCACAAATGCAATCATGTCACCAGGGCAGCAGTAAGTGCGAGGACCAGTTGTATGTCAATTTTTTTCAGTGCCATGTTAACTCTGGACATTTAAGTCTGCACTACTATTAATCTTCTCATCTTCTCACCGTTCCCATCACCCATCTCCTCCCACTTATGACTGTATGATTGTAACCTTGTTGCTGGTATCCTTACGATTTATATTGATATTGTTTCCTGATTGCTTATTTCTAACCTATGACTATCATTAAGTGTTGTACCTTATGATTCTTGATGAACGTATCTTTTATTTTATGCACACTGAGAGCATATGCACCAAAGACAAATTCCTTGTGTGTCCAATCATACTCAACCAATAAAAATTCTATTCTATTCTATTCTATTCTATTCTATTCTATTCTATTCTATTCTAAGCAAATAAGGCATTAGTCGAGTGCTACCTATAACTCAGTCTTGGTTAACCTAGTTCTGTTTCTGAATATTTTATATTTGTACCAATAAAGGAGAATATTTGTAGCTCAGGGCTAAAATGAGGGGTCCTTGGTGCTCTCTGAGCTTGCTTGCTTTCTTGCAGACGTTTCATTAATTTAATTTTAATTTAATTTAATTTATTGAATTTCTATGCCGCCCAACTCCCAAGGGACTCTGGGCAGCTTACAGCAAAAAACAATACAACAAAGACATAGGAAAATTATTAAAAAATATTTTAAAAACATTAAAAGCCCATGCACACCATTCATGGCCGGATCTTGCAAGATTGCAACAGCGAGATCAATGGCCCCAGCCCTGCCGGAAAAGCCAGGTCTTCACCGCTTTCCGGAAGGCCAATAGGGTGGGGGTAGTCCGGATCTCAGGAGGTAACTGGTTCCAGAGAGCTGGGGCAGCCACAGAGAAGGCCCTCCCCTGCAGGCCCGCCAGCCGGCATTGTTTAGCTGACGGGACCCGGAGGAGACCAACTCTGTGGGATTTTACCGGTCGCTGGGAGCTATGCGGTAGAAGGTGGTCTCGAAGATAGCCTGGCCCTGAGCCATGTAGGGCTTTAAAGGTAATAACCAATACCTTACCCTAACTAGGTAACATCATCAGTGCTAGTAATTGTTTGCTGCAAGTTTATATTCTGTGTGGGTAGGGGTGGTCTTAAGAGATTTTTTGGTTGGGCTGTAAACAGCCACACAAACAGAATATAAACTCACAGCAAACAACAGTCCTTACTAGCACTGATGATGTTACCTGGTTTGGGTAATGAAACATCTGCAAGTAAACAAGCAAACTCAGAGAGCATCAAGGACCCCTTATTTTATATTTGCTAGTTGCCCACTAGGTGGTGCTGTCAGCCTGACTTCTTCCTCCAGATACCAAATTCACTGGGCCTTGATAGCCTTTTTGGGAAATAAAAACATTTTGCTTTTTGACAGAAAGAAATTTGAGAGAGAAAAACAATATTTGGTTCAGAAAGACAAAACATAATATTAATGGGTCACAAACAATGGGGAGGCAGTGAGAATTCCCCCTGTCAAACTCATTTTTAATATGACAAAGACAACTTTTGACATACATCTGACATAAGGAACATTGTTATTTTTGGAAGACTCAGAAAAATATTAGGTGTATCTTTCCATGATACTGATTTTTAATTGGACCGTTGTTTTGTAAAATGATAAGGAATAAATAAACATAATTCAACATTCAAAATCCAGGCTACTGAGAGTAACAACAGTCTGATGCTGCATCTTCCTTTCTTGTGTATTTTCTTGGAAAGGATGGAGATAAATTCTGGAGGATGCCTGAATGTTACATCCGTGGCAGCACCATCAAATACCTGCGTATTCCTGATGAGATCATTGATATGGTGAAAGAAGAGGTGGTCTCCAAAGGCAGGGGTCGTGGTGGGATGCAGCAACAGAAGCAGCAGAAAGGTCGTGGCATTGGTGGCCCTGGGCGAGGTAAGTCCTCTTTTTAATCTTTAGAAGAAGTTTGGAAACTGCTTTCCAAGGTCATTAAAATCTCAACACTTGCAGCAGTGGGGTTGAAAACTTCCTGAACAATCCCATTCAAACTTTGCACTAGAATAGAATAGAATAGAATAGAATAGAATAGAATAGAATAGAATAGATAGAATAGAATAGAATAGAATAGAATAGAATAGAATAGAATAGAAGAATAGAATAGAATAGAATAGAATAGAGAATAGAATAGAATAGAATAGAATAGAATAGAATAGAATAGAATAGCAGAGTTGGAAGGGACCTTGGAGGTCTTCTAGTCCAACACCCTGCCCAGGCAGGAAACCCTACACCACTTCAGACAAATGGTTTCCAACATCTTCTTAAAAACTTCCAGTGTTGGAGCACTCACAACTTCTGGAGTCAAGTTGTTCCACTGATTAATTGTTCTAACTGTCAGGAAATTTCTCCTTAGTTCTAAGTTCTCTCCTTGATTAGTTTCCACCCATTGCTTCTTGTCCTGCCCTCAGGTGCTTTGGAGAATAGTTTGATTCCCTCTTCTTTGTGGCAACCCCTGAGATATTGGAACACTGCTATCATGTCTCCCCTAGTCTTTTCATTAAAATAGACATACTCAGTTCCTGCAACCGTTCTTCATATGTTTTAGCCTCCAGTCCCCTAATCATCTTTGTTGCTCTTCTCTGCACTCTTTCGAGAGTTTCAACATCTTTTTTACATCATGGCGACCAAAACTGAATGCAAAATTCCAAGTGGGGCCTTACCAAGCCTTACTAAGCCATAATGTGTTGCTTTTAGATAGGTTTTTGTTTGAAGTCATAACATGGTTTATTTAGGAAATCCTGACTAAATTAATCCTGACTAAGCAAAGTTACCAGTCTTACCCATTCACCTCTGTTTCAATAGGAGCTTAGCTCTATAGCAGGAATGGTAAAGCAAATTCTGTAGCTATTCAGCCTCTGGCCAATGTAAGGGATTGGATTAGTATCCCCTTGCTTCAGTTCTTGTAGCAAAGTGTAGGATACAGCCTTCCAGTAAACATAGCTGATGTTACATCTGGAATATATTACATTTCAGCTCTTTAGTATTTAGGGCAGTTGTCAATAGAGGTGGAGTGTTCTGTTACTACTCCTCAGAAGATCTCCATAAATACTAAAGTCATCTAACAGTGAACTCCATAAATTAGATGCTGTGTGAAGTTCCTTTTCATCTGCCGTACTTGCCAGCAGTTTTATCAGATCATCATAATTTGAAGAAGAGGAAAATCGCTCTATCTACTCCTTTTCCTGAATCATCTATATTTATGTCTCAGCTTGGCCGTATTTCCTCTAAAGGAGGAGACTGAGAGGGCAAAACAAATGTTCTTCCAGTTGTCATTTTCCCCTTATATACTGCAAGTTTCAAGACAGAGTACATTCCTCCCTTTTTGTTAGCTACATATACCGTATTTTTTGGAGTATAAGACACACCTTTTTCCCCCAAAAAAGAGGGTGAAAATCTGGGTGCGTTTTATACTCCGAATGTAGCCCTGCCCAGCTTCTCAAACTGAGGTTTCAGAGGCTGAAAAAAGCATCAGAAACGAAGCTTCAGAAAAGAAGCCCCCAAACAGAGCTTCAGAGGCTTTTTTTCTAAAGCTTTGTTTCAGAGGCAAAAAAAAAAGCCAAAAAAAGCAAGGCACAGAGCTCACAACCAAGGAACCTGTTGCTAAAATTCACCTCTGGGAACAGCTGATCGAGGGTATTCCAGGAGGCCGATCCACCTGCCAATCAGCTTTTTTCTTATTTTCCTCCCCAAAAACTAAGGTGCATTTTATACTCCGGTGCATCTTATACTCTGAAAAATACGGTAATTGGCATAAGAATTGTTTAAAAGATAAATCATTAGTATCCTTGCAGTTTAACTCAAAAAGTCTTCTCTGGAGGCATTTGGAAGTTCACATGTTACTTTCCTAGGATATTACAAGAGCAGTAACTCTCAATGGCACTGAAAATTTGGCTCAAGCTCATCAACCAGTAAATCAGTGGAATAGCTTACTTCCAGAAGCTGTGGGTGCTCCTCTTCTTAGAAAACTGTGGAGGTTTTTAAGAAGAGACTGGGCAGCCATGAATGGTATAGGGCAGGGGTGTCAAACTCGATTTCATTGAGGCCCACATCAGAGTTGTGTTTGACCTCGGGGAGCCAGGGGGGCTGTGGCCAGGGTGGGCATATTGAAGACGCCTGTAGCAGCCTGAGCGCTCTGCCAGCGAAAACAGGCTCCCAAGCTCTGTTTTCAGCTACAACAGCCTCCTGTGACCCTCTGCCAGCAAAAACAGAGCTTGCGAGGGCCACATGCAGCCGTCCCGAGCTCCATTTTTGCTGGCAGAGGCACCGCAGGCCGGTCCTTTGCTGTTTCCACGGTGGCCCCATGGACCAGATTTAAGTACCCCGTGGGCCGGATCCAGCCCCCAGGCCTTGAGTTTGATACCCCTGGTATAGGGTGTCCTGCTTGAGCATTCTTTCTCTTAATACCAAAAGTTGGAGGGCAAGTACCGTGTTTCCCCGAAAATAAGACCCTGTCTTATATTTTTTGAACCCTGAAATAAGCGCTTGGTCTTACTGCCATGTGCTCAAAAGCCCAATTGGGCTTATTATCAGGGGATGTCTTATTTTGGAGGAAACAGGATAGGAGGAGGCAGTGAGTTTCTTTAGCCTGGATGCATGTTTCTGGCACCTATTGGCAACAAGTTTAGATTGTTTGGTCCAGCAAGATTCTTCCTACATTATGGAGCATGCTAAGTGCTGGCCTAGAAACCAGGAGATGGCGAGTTCTAGTCCTGCCTCAGGCAAGAAAGTTGGCTGACTTTTTCAATCCATCTATCCCACCTTACAGGGTTGTTGTGGGCAAAATAGGAGAAGGGAAGAATATTTATGTCCACTACCTTGAGTTGCTCAGAAAGTAAATTAAAGTTGAGATAAAAATGTAATAAATTTAAGTGGCTTATCCAGCAACCAATTGTTAAACAAAGCACCTGAACCCTGACAGTGTTGATCAATACTCATAAAGTCATAAAAACCTTGCAGAGATTGATCTCAGAGGGTTGATATCTGGTTGATATGTAGTTGCTCATCATAGTGTGCGGTGTGGATGGCATTGCCTCCAAGTCTCTCCCTCCCTGAGTTAACGCTTCCCTTTCTGTTTACAGGAGTGTTTGGAGGTCGTGGTCGAGGAGGAATCCAAGGGAGTGGTCGAGGACAGCAAGAAAAGAAGCCAGGGAGACAAGCAGCAAAGCAGTGAGAAGCTGAACTGTGGCCAGGGAGTGCTCTGCGCCCAGATGCTATGTCATTGGGACATACTGGTTTGCTGTCTCCCCTTAACAAAACAAAGTTGTACTTTTTTAAAAATGTGAATAACTGGGATATTTGGCATCTTATGAGGGTTTACAGGTGTTTTACCACTCAAACATGTATTTTAGCTTCCGTTTGAGTGGGCACCGATGGAGAGTAGTGCTCAACTGACTCCCTCCTTCTTGGAATTACTACGGTAAAATGACTAGCTTAGCCAAGTTCACGTTTTTGAAATTGGAGAGGTAATGTGCAGTTTTTGTGTGAGCCGTTTCATTCTAATTGATAAACCATGAAATGCATTTAAGCGAACAAAAAAAAAAAATTGATTGTGTTGTGCAGAAGATCTGCAATCGTGGGTTCTTGGTAGCCAAAAGTTCCCAGCATTTAGTAGCTGGGGAGTGAATGTTGGTTTTTTCCTCCTAGCTGGGGAGAAGAATTAAAGCAATGAAACAGCTTACCTCGCGATCTTTTTATTGCGCAGCGAGATCGTTTTTTAAAAGATTGGATTACTTTGAAGAGGGAATTACCTCTCTAACAACTTCATCTTTCAAAAATTTACTTTTTCGCCCAGTTTGAGAAATAATACCATCAGTGACTTATAGAGACTATTTTCAGTGCTGAACTTCTGTTTTAAACAACTGAACTGTGGCCTCCCTCACCCACATGGAGCAGGTTTTCTGTAGCCCAAAAAGAGAACATCCGTAACCCATGACGAGCCTCAAACTAAGGCAAGATTTAGAAAAAAGCTGTCCTTCAAAGGTCTGGCTCCATCCGTTCTGACTAACTTTGCTAGTGATCCACACACAGGAAGTGAAATTTCACAAGTTCCACACACAATATGCTTCAAAGTGTCCTAAATGGAATTAGGTGCCTCAGCTGAAAGGGGGGGGGGGGCTAAAAATGGGATTTCAGATGAGTTTCAAAAATACCGTTTTAGAAGCAGCACTTAAGACAACCCATTAGTCAATACTGATTAAAAAAAAAGCAGCTACAATATTTTGGGTAAAAACATTTTTACACGTTTTTGGCCTGCTGTCTGTTACAAGTGGAATAAAGTTTTATCTGTTACTGTGTGTGTATGTTTTAGAAAAGGGGGTGAGAATGTTAATGAGGGGCCCTGTAGAAATGTTCTCCAGGTATAGTAATAACACTCAAGAATAGGCAAGCTCCCTTTTGCCTGGCCTGTGCCGGATTTCTTCTCTTGCATGTAGCATATTTTTTTTCTCTTGGACGGATCTTGTTTACTTTCTACCTTTGAAAACTCTAAGTGAATGTTGTCTTGTTTTTGAGGCCTCCTTTTTCTTCAGTAGGAAAATGGGACTGCATCTTTTCTTACAGATGGGAAGGACAGCATTCATGTCATTTGGGAGTCTTATTTGCTATGAAAGTTATTACAGGTAATCCTCAATTTATGGCCGGTCACTTAGCAATCATTTGAAGTTACAACAGACCCTATCCCTACCCCAAAGGTTTTTATGACTTGCATTTGAAGTTCTGATGGCTGCTTCCCACCTCCACCCCACGAGTCACTTGATTACATTTTGGGCACTCAGCAACTAGTCTGCATTTATGGCCGTCTGCAACATCTTCAAGTTCATATGACCACAATTTATTTATTATTCGTATTTATTATTCGTATTTCTATGCCGCCCAACTCTCCGAGGACTCTGCGCGGCTTACAACAAAGACAGTATAAACAATATACAATAAGAGACATTAAAAACCCATACACATCGCTCATGGCCGGATCTCACAAGATCGCAATGGTGAGATCAATGGTGAGATTGATTATTGGGGGGTTTTTTGTTTTGCCAGAAACCAGTATTTACCTCTGGTTTCTGGCAAAAAACGCCCATTGCAGAAAATGGGTTTGCTTAATGACCACTTCAAATAAAAAATGTTAAAACATGGGTTGGTTACTTGAGTGTCTCTACTTATAACCGTCATGACTTACAAGGGAAATTCCATTCCATTATGGTTATAAATTGGAGACTTAACTTACCTGTATATGATTTTTAGGGGGGGGGGGGTGGCAGGGCAAATGCAAATAGTGATTCCAGAAAATTTAATTCTTTCCTAGCCGGAATCTGGTGTTACCACTTCTTCTTGTGCCATATCCGTCATCGGATGTTGGCGATCCTATTTTTATCAACAGCCACACAGAAAAGTGCTGCTGAGTTTTTTCCAAACCAGTCCCTTAGGTTTTGAAGCCTTGATGTTCTTCTGCCTGGACCTCGTTTGCCTTCAACCTTCCCCTGGAGGATTAAGTGAAGGATGCCGTATTTTTTCCAGGTGTCGCATCATATGTCCAAAATATTCTTTTGCCTTTTTTATGGTTTTGATTATTTCCCTTGGCTTTCCCAGGCGGTGTATCACCTCCTCATTTCTGATTTTGTCAACCCATCTTATATGTAACAGCCGCCTGTAAATCCACATTTCAAATGCTACCACCTCTTGCTGTTCTCTTAATCTGGAATGCATTGTTTCTGTGTGTGAGGCAATGGGGTTGCAGGCACAATACAGTCCCTCTCCTGTAAGCAAAACGCACCACATGGTATGACCCTCAAGGAGAACCAGCTTTTCTGTTGCTCTTTCTTTGTTTGCCCTTTGTTTCGGGGGGGCGGGAGAGGTGGGGTGCAGGTGCCTCCCCCAAGAGCATTTTCTTCAGACTTGCTTTTGCAGGCCTGGTGCTGGCTCAGCTGTGTGGTGACTCACTCACTCCTCCCCAGGTCTGCGTCTAGAATAGCTGCACAAGAGGAGGAGCTGTACAAATACTTGGAAGCCTGTGTTAAGTAACTAAAAATAATCATGTCTCAATCCTTCCCTCCCTCCCTCCCTCCCTCTTTATTTTTATTAATGTTGTTCTTCCTTTCCTGATGCATTATGGTTAGCCACCACAGCCTAAAAAGCCTTCAGGCTGTGCTCCAAGGAAACTGCAGTTTGAAAAAACGTACGTAGAAAGCTCACCCTGAACCCTGGAGTACAGCAGGAGAGAGAGTTCTGCCTTTGCTCTTGGCACCTGCTCAGCCTCAGCCGCTTTGCCCGTCTTGATGAGATGCCCACAAAAACAGCAGGTGAATGCTCCCGTACACGAAGAGGCTACCTGCTTAAATCGGGCAGATGTTTTCCAGGCCTTCTCCATTTGGGAAGAAGCCTTGCTTGGCCATTTCAAGCATCTTTTCTTTAGCACTGGTTAAGCCAGATGCATCAGGTTCGTAAAAAGTATTTTCCTTTGTTGAAACTCCAGCAACTGAGAAGCAAAACGTCGTCAAAGGAAAACCAGAAAGTCTAGTTGAGTGCCTCTTGAAAAAAGCACTTTTGGGTTAGCTATGGAGACTTTAAGAAGCTGTTGAGTAGAGCTGGATTATTTTCCCAACTTCCCAAATCTTGTTGACAGCAGTGAGTACAGGTAGCCCTCGACTTACAACAGTTCGTTTAGTGACCGTTCAAAGTTACAACAGCACTAAAAAAAGTGACATCGTTTTTCACACAAACATTGTAGCATCCTCATGGTTACATGATCAAAATTCAGAAGTTTGGCAACCGACTCATATTTATGGCCGTTGAAATGTCCCGGGGTCATATGATCACCTTTTGCAGCCTTCGGACAAGCAGAGTCAATGGGGAAGCCAGATTTACTTAACAACCCTGTCACTAACTTAATAACTGGAGGGATTCACTTAACAACTGTGGTAAGGAAGGTTGTGAAATGGGACAAAACTAACTTAACGAATGTTTCACTTGGCAACAGATATTTTGGGCTCAATTGTGGTCATAATTCAAGGACTACCTATTTTCTTCCGCATACTAGTATTCAACAGAATAATCTTTTTTTTTTTCTACTGCCTTCCTTAGAGGCCAGTACAACACAAATTAAGAATACCAGAAGGAACACAAGGAAAAGGATTTGTCCTAAAAAGCTGTAAAATGGTCTCCCTGGCAGAGAGATGTTGAAAATAAAGTATCAATTGAGCTGGCCTTGTTTGGTCAGTAAGCATCCAGGTGGGTTGAACAACGGAGGACAATCTGTCTGGAGTGATGTGAAGCCAGCCCTCTTCCCAGCTTCTAAATTGTGATGGGGAGAACAGAGCTCTAACAACTCGAGTAAAGATAGATGCATTTACACTAGGAAAAGGTTGAGGATCTGGTCAAGAGTACATTTCTGTCTTGCCAATCCAAAAACTGGATTTAACTGTCCCAGAAGGAGTTATAGACAACCCCTGAGCCAGACAGATAACGTGTTTCCCCGAAAATAAGAACCAACCAGAATGTAAGTCCTAGCATGATTTTTCAGGATGCTCATAATATAAGCATTACCCCCCAAAATAAGCCCCAGTTAAGAGCGTCAGCCAGACGGACCGTATTTAGTACCGTATTTCCCCAAAAATAAGACCTAACAGGAAAATAAGCCCTAATGTGTCTTTTGAAGTAAAAATTACTATAAGACCCGGTCTTATTTTCAGGGAAACGGGTAGCTGGGTGACCTTAGGGGCCCCTCCTAAGAGCTAGATTTCTTGAGCAGCCTTCCCATGTAAGTCCATCCATGTTGTGCTCTTAGCCTTGAATGTGTGCATCTTAAATCAAAGGGATGACTAAGAGCACACTCGGCTCTTTTATATCCAGTTCTAAGTATAGTGCAGTAGTTGGCTAAGTGTCAACTAAGTACAAGGCTCCAATAACCTTTAGGGCTGCTGCTGAACTGGAGGCATGATGAGGTTTGAAAGGCATATGACAAAGGCATCCTTTGGCTTCGAGACAAAAAGATTCATAGGTTTGCCTTTGGGGTTTCACACAGTACCGGTGTCTTTAAAAATGGACATTCTGTTGACCAGCATATTACTGGAACAATGAATGAATGAAATACAGTAGAGCTTTAGTTCAACAAACTTCTAGAAAATTTTGAAGGATGAGGTGAAAATCTTTTAAAAGAAACATGGAAACATGAATTTCTGAACTGTTTTTTCTTAGCAACTCCCCATCCCCCAAATTTAAAAGCAGCATTTTTAAATGTCCCTATTAATTCCAAAGTGCAGTGGGTGTGGCCCTGATGTATACTGTCAGGTGCTGTTTAAAGGTCTTTGGGAGAAGCAGTGCAGATACTTAAATCTATTATCTAAGTTTCTAGCTCTCATGTTTTCTGACTCAGAGAATTTCTAAGAATTGGTTATCTAGTTCATTTGCTCTTGTTTTAACCTTACTATTAATCGGGTTTGAATTAAACTTTAAAATGTTGCATATTTTGTGTTATTACCCTGTTTCCCCAAAAATAAGACATCCTGTGATAATAAGCCCAATCGGGCTTTCGAGCGCATGCGCTGAAATAAGCCTCCCCCGAAAATAAGCCCTCCCCGAAAATATTTAAGCGCAGAGCTGGAAATCAGGTAAGACGGCAAGAGGAGCCCCATCTTGCTCCACACGCCCCCAAATAATAAGACCTCCCCAAATATAAGGCCAAGCGCTTATTTCGGGTTCAAAAAAATATAAGACGGTCTTATTTTCGGGAAAACACAGTACATTCATGAGAGGCCATAACATCCATAACATACAGTAAGAAAAGCAGGGATTTGGCTCTGATGGCCCAATAGGAAACAACATTACAATGACTGTGAATTGCAAATGCTTGCTACCTTTTGTTAACTTTTTCAAAATACATTTTAAAAATAAAAATATTCATCATGGGCTTAATTACCCAGATTTATTTTGTATGTGTTAGAAGTTCCAAATTACAAACCGCTGTACAGGATTTACGACCACAACTGGGACTAGAATCTCCGTTGCAAAACAAGGATTTTGTTATCTGAGTTGCAAGTCTGATTTTATGAATTGAATACTTTTTATTTGGCCAAGTGTGAATAGACACACAAGGAACTTTTCTCTGGTGCAGAAGCTGCAAAGCAACAGAATAACTATAGTACCGATAAGAGGGGAATGATCTCTTTAATGACTTTTTTGCCATGTTTGTTAAATGAATCACTGAAGTTATTAAGCGAATCTGACTTCCCCAATTAACATTGCTTGTTAGAAGACAGCTGGGAAGGTCACAACAACAATCAAATGATCCAGGAAGC